ATAATTGGAGGATTTCTAAATTGTGGTGTCTTATTATTCCAAGAATCAGTGGAGGTATCCTTTCTATGTTCAGAACATTGAAATTGATCTGATTCATGGATCAAACAAGAGATGCATTAAAAATTTAGGAACAACTGCCTTTGACTCGGGTATAGCACAATATTTGGTAAATTAGAGAGAGTTCTTGACTTTTCCCTAAAAAGTCAATTGTGTTGGCCCATCACTGTTGTCAGTGGCTCTTCTAAAGTTGATTGGGTCAGTGATGTATTGTGATCGCAGAGAGAGAAGTTTTTGTTTTCTAGAAATTTAAAATATGTTTTGTATGCTTGTATATCATATTACTTGCGTAATACAAAGACAATTTCAGTATCAACATTTGAACCATGGGTGCTTTGAGCAGTTTTAAATCTTGAGATAGACTAAATATAAATCACTAAGATTTCTGGACTGAGGTTAGGGTTGTGAGTCTTTATTGTGCATTACCAGTTCCCTAGTAATTGCCTGCATGCAGGATCTTTCTCTTCTTTTACTGAGAATTTAATTTCTACTTACTGTGGAGTGAATGTGTGCATGTGGGCAGTTCCTGCTGAGTAGCTAACATGTAGTAAAGCCCAGACCTCTTTCACCACAGCAAATTGTTCAACTTTCCATACCTTGTACTTCTATTTGATTTATGTCGTCTTGTGGTAAGTTACGATTCCTTTGCACAGTTATTACTACAGGCTGCCTCTATTTTCTTTTACTTACATAATATCACTTGAAAAAACATTGCCTTCCTTAAACATTATGGGAGGTACTATGTTCAGAAGGATTTCCAGGCTCAGTAAAATGAGTACATTTTTTTCCATTAGAAAGATTAAAGCAGCAGCTTAAAAGCAATATGAGCATTGCTAGGAGAAGTAATTAAGGGCACTACTCCCTCCTATTTAATAGGTGGAAACACTTATTTAAAGAAAAGTTGTGGGAGGGAGGAGTGGAAGGAAAGAGGGAGTGCAGGAATGGAAACGCATGAATCCTACAACCATGCAGAAATGAGCATCAACATAATAGTAATAAATTGGGGAAAGGAAACATCTGATGATCTGCTCCCCTCAGTAGTGCCCAGAGATGCTCTGTAATATTATTTGCTGCTTATTTTAGGAAGACTGTAGTTATGTTAATAATTAAAACTATATTTTCATTCTAGCGAACATTATTAAACCTTAAAGTTAACATTAAACAGATATAAATTGTATTAATAACTTAAAGAATTTGTATTTTTAAAATGTACAATTGGAAGATAATTACTGTTTTTCTAATATGGTATGAAGTGTACAGGTTCTGACTACATATTTTCTTTATTGCAAGATTTAGAAAAAGGGACTGACACATTAAACATAACCGGTCTTCCACAGCTTCAGTTTCAACCTTATAACTATATTGCTAGACGGATGGCTAAATGTTGTGTGAGAAACACCTAGTTTTAAAAACGTTATCCCAATGATTTTATCTACTGCATTTAGTCAAATATTAAATTATCCTGAATACAAGACAATTCCCCCCAATAATTAGGTTCTATATATTGAAAATTATAAATGTTATAAATTTCCAAGTATAGAATATAATTGTTGGAGGGTTGACTTAACTTTATCTGTCTCCCACTGCCATAGCAGGGAAAAATAAATCGGGGGGGAGGCGGGGGGTGTCAGGTATCTCCCTTGCTGCCTCCCCCCTCCCCTCCCCCCCCCCCAATTTGTCCCTGTAGTCTTTCCCTTCCTCCCCTCCTCCTAACTGTCAGACCCTGCTTTCTATGAGCATGTGGAAGTGAGGGCAAATTTTAA